TAGGTGTTTCGGACTCTGTCACCTACCTAATATTCGAAAATAACAATAAGCAATTTATGCCTACGTTGTACTTTTTTATTAAAACAATATGAAAAGTCCAGTGGTGGCCACTCCTAACTTGACCGCGACTGCGATAACGATAATTCGATAACCTTATACCAATATCTACCGAATATATAACCAGTGAACTACGATGTAAAAGCCATGTGCTCATTATCGTCTGCCAATAATAGTTAGGAAGGTATGATAAAATAAAAAGACCGCGAAAAATTGCGATTCGATTTGATTATGATATCACGTAAAAACAACTTAGGATATATTCGAAAATGTCATTTTCATCTACTTTCTATTCGATCTCAGGCTAATTAAGAATTTAAGGAAATCGCAGAAGGCTCATTACACCTAACGTGCCAATATAAGCATCTTATTAAAAAAAAACATGTGACTTTGCGACGTTCGAAAAGGAACCGGTCTCCCTGTATTGGACGGGCTCCCCAGCGGCGGCTGTTCTCAGGCGCGATCCCACTACTGCCCGACACGGGTACTTTTGGCTGCTCGGTCGCCCGCCTGGCCCGGTACGCACCTCCTTAGTCAACCTGGCGACCCCGGACTCCTCCGGGGGCCCCATATTGATGCCGGGCTTAGTGCGGACACCCGATCGACACAGACCGCCGCTGGGAAGGACTCCCGCCCTCAAGAGATCCACGGAACCACGCCCCCGAGTAGCCGGATAACAGGAGCACGCCACCACTCCCAGCGAGCGAGTGGCGGCTGGCGGCGGGCCTGGCGCTGCTCCTATCAGTAGACGCAATCGTGATAGTGACGTAGTGACGTGCTATCGTTATCTTCTGTGTAGGTTTATAGCGATGGTCTGTGGTCTGTTGGGTGTGGACTGTGGATGTTTACAATGAGGGTGAGGGTCGAACATAAGAAACGAACTATACCTATAGACTGGACTAAAAGAGCTCCAGCAAAGCAGAAATACCTACACATCCGATAGCTCCCTTCCCGAGATAAATGATAAAGAGTGAAAAAAAACTACGTGACGTATGTGTCGCCGTTTTGAACATCAATGCCTATAAGAATAAATTATATATTTCCATTTAGGTATACCTACTTTTATTGAATGTTGAAGGCTGACGTAGCCAGGCCGTACTCACTATACATTACCTGTATGTACCTAACGTGTTCGGGCTTGATGGCGAAACAGCGTGAATATGATATGATCAATAAACATTGTCTGAGGTAATTAGTAACCACTTGAATTAATATGTGGTTCTGGTTCTTTTTTTTTTTGGTACGATTGGGGAGCACGTAATTGAAACAAATATAATTGTAAATAATGTCTTAGGTATATTATTTCATAAATGCTTCTTATATTTAGTGGGAGAAATAGCTATCTACCAATATCGAATACACAATGGCCCATTAGCAGGGGTTATTCTTTATACGGAGAGAAAGAGTGATTCTCGGACTGACGAAAGGGTTGGTAACAGTCAAAGTGTGTACCACGTGTAGCACACTGCTGCTTCTCAGAACCAATGAATAAAAATGAATAATAGCATGCAACCTATTTCGCCAAACATGATGCCCACTTTATCATGATGCAACTAGGATGCAAACTCTCGCCTACAGATATCAATATTGATTACCGGGTATTAGTCAACAGGAAATCACGGCCATTAAATTATCTCTAATCGTGGGGGAGTTATTGATAGCGACGGGTGTGTCGGAGCCTGTATGCAAATCGCCGCTATCAAATACACATCAAATGATTGACCAACAGCGTGACGCAGCGTCGGTGTAACTTCTGGCTCGTGCTGCATGTCAGGAAGGCTGCTAAGGCCCGCCGGGGGCCCATTGGACACAGACACACCTATATCTTGGTCTCAACTCTCAGTGACCCCGAGTGATACCCGCAGAGATGCCGGCTGTAACACAGGCCAGTGACGTCACCAGAACACGCATGGATCTGATGACGTCAATGGCCACCGACTGCGCAGTGTTTCTCGGCCGAATTTCAATCATACAAACCCATACCCAGCTCCGTTTGCCATCACACTGATCAGTGTTTATATATGTAAAACGTAATCGTATCTTGCGATGGTTGACCTTCGAGTGAATAGAATCAAATCAAAATATGCTTAAAAACTGTAGTGAAGACTCCGCCCAGCCCCTGCCAGCGCGCTAACAAGACGCAGTTATTGACGGATCCCAAATTCACAGTCCTCTCCTGGCCGTACTGTGCAGGACTTGATTGGTGAGCCTGTCCCCAATGTATCCCTCGACAATCACACCAACAGCTGCGACTGAGTTTACGACTTGGTCTGCGGTGTAAACTTGATTGGCCCGGCGAGCCAGCCGTCCGTAGGTTTGTCCGTATGTTGGACCGGACCACCGTCGGGGAAGGGCCAGAGACGTTGTACTGGCTTGAGGTGAATGTTTGATTCAGGAACAAATGTGTACAGTGCGTGTACTAAGGTGTATAGTGCTGATGTAATACGTTACAGCTTCAACGATAGCTTTCATGCAGATCTGGCCGTATTGAAAGGCTGGTGTATTTGTGCTGTCATGTATAAAAAAAATCACTTGAATAGAAGTTTTGCTGCTTATCCGAGTGCAAAACCTGTGTTTTGGTCCAAATCACGCAGAGAAAATGCTTATGGGTACATGTTTGGTTATACCTACCTGTTTTTTTTTTTTCACTGAGCTGGTTGCATCGAACGGAGTTATAGCTGAACCAAACTGGCAAGACATTCAAAAGCTGGCTGTGCTGACCTCTTTCCATGTTGATAAATATACCTACCTACTCGAGAGGATCTGGGCTGACGAACGAGTGGGCGGGTGACGGCCAAGACCGTATAATAAGGGGCAACGGCATACTACGGTGGCGATCGTTGTAGGAGCGCCTTCTTAAAGGTAGTGTGCCACCTTTGAAAGATTTCCCGTTTTATTTTTCCTAGGATAAGAAGCTTCTGTTTTTACCTAATATCGCAAAAAAAATCAAAAATGGGCCTGGAATAGTGCCTTTTTCGCCTAAAAGTTTATCGGTTTTTAGATATGTATAACAACTGTACTGGGCTCACCTGCAAACAGGCGTCGGGCAACAATCGCGAATGCGGCGCACTTGTGACAATAAGCAAAGGTCATTATAGTGTTACGACCATACGACGTACGGGAATGAGTTATCAGCTGTCTAATCGTAGACAACACAATGTCGAGCCTTAAACTGTAAGCCTGTATTGGTATTGTTTCTTAAATTTGGCTGTCGAACATTAATTTGTGGTTTGAAATATGATTTTATGTAAAATAATTGATATGAAACAGCCGTCTCTTAAAGGGACCCTCCCACCTTCAAAAAAGTTAATGAATTGGCATGAAAGTGATGTCGCTCGGTTCAGAAAGAGTAAAAACGAATATCTACCAAATTTCATCGAAAAATATTCACCGGTTTTCAAGATATTAGACTTTAACTTTTGTTTACTTTTTGGGATCTCCGCTGTTCCTAGCGACTTTATTTGAAAGTGCGGCATTTGTTGCGCGCAAAGCAGCGTATACCACCGCGTGCTACAAAACGTTTTAGTCAAACATTTAACGGACGTTCGAAAGCCTGATGACGTCATCAGATTCCCGTAATGGTTAAGAGATAGGGACCACGCTGGTCCCACCCTGCAAGTAAAGGGAAGAAATTTCTTGAACACCATAAAGCTGCGGGGGTTGCGACCAGGATAAATAGTGGTTTCTGAGCCTGGCCGCAAACTTGGCTATCTCAACTCAAAACTAATGTTAAGGTGGGAGGGTCCCTTTAAGTTATGACCCCATTACACCACACGCAAGTGGCAGAAATGACAATGATCAGCTGACGCATTTTTCTTGGCCGAAGCACGCCGAAGTCAGAGCGCGCGGCCCGACGCACCACGCGTATTTGGAAATTCCGACCTCGACGAGCATCAGAAGCCACCTAACAGGCGTGTTCGAAACCGCAGGAGATGATGATGAACGGGTTTATCGAAACTTGATTGGATGAGCCTATCGGTAATAGCGATTTTAGTGTGTGCATTTATTGTTCATAGTGGTGTGAAATGTGGTTGGGGTACGACCGACAACCCGTCGGGGCGAATTTCGCACTGGGGTACTCAAAATTTGAAGAATTTAAGACGTTTCCATAAGTTTTGAAGGTATGGATAAGTTCTAAAAATCCGGTTCTCCTTATCCGGGTCATTAACTCCATATGGTCCAAGAAAGCTGGCACACTACCTTTAAGTTTCAATCCACGCCCGCTGGTGGCAGCACCGTACGGTGCCGTGGCTCAGTCACTTTCTCACATTACGGGCACGCCCGAACAGGGTGTGTGTGGAAATGAGTGAGTAAGCGGCAATAACGAGCGACTGGTGGGTGTCGGGACGGTTTCGGTATCACTTCACAGACGTTTTTGTCCGTCCTGTGCCACCGCTGCCGCAGTGCCGCCCGACGAGGTGGTCACGAAAGTGATCACGATCAGCATAGTGAGTCAAACAAATGCGAACAAAAGTAGGGGGGGGGGGCACACGGGTCCATGGAGAGGGGGACTTGAGCCTTTTTGAGAACCAAGTGGACCTTTTCGGGCAGACACTGGCTTCTAAGAGCCCTCAAGACGGGCTCTGAAGGCTCTACGCAGGCATTTGATTGTCCACACTTGTCCACACTCTTGAGTCCCCATAACGGCTTCTCGAAACACCATAGCACTGTGCTTATCACGGACAGACCACCACCACCATTCTCAGGCTTCTTAGGTTCTCGCCAGCCTGAGGACCCAGCTCAGGAACCTATGAGACCCACACCAGCTCTTGGGGATCACAAGCCGGCTGAAGATGATGCTTGGGTCTCAAGGGTGTCCTAAGGACGCATTGTCACCGTTGCCACGCCGTTACTGGAATGCGCGTCAAAGAACCATGTTATGAAACTACTCTTAGACCAGCGCACCACTCTCACAAATTACTCTCAGATAGAAACTCAATGCGAACAAGCAGGACGCTGGTTTTATTCAAAAATAAAATCATAACCATCTCGAGTACGTTAGATTAGAAGAGCCAATGCCTCGGCTCGAGCATAAAACAAAGGAATAACAGGTCCGACGCTCGGATCTATACCCATGTCGCTTCTCGGTGCTCTGTGCCTATCACGGACGTCTACGAGCGATGGCCTCGATCAGTGCGTCTGCGAGGCGGTCCCGACTCGCCAGGCCGGCCTCCTGCAGGGCCACCATTCCCTCGATGGCAGCCACAATGCGCTGCTCCAGCTCCAGGAACTGGCGGTCATTCTGGACCAGCTGCTGGATGGCAACAAGCAGTCCCCGGCGGATGGCAGCGCGGCGTCTACGTATACGGTGTCGTCTGGCGAGGGCCAGCACTAATGCTGGTCTGGAGAGTCGCGGCGCGCCTGGACAGGCCGCGGCCGCGCGGGCGGCGGTGGTAGCCTGACTGTCGGCTGTGTCCTCTGCCGAATCAGGAGACCTGCTTTTGGCACCGGCTGGTGGTCCTGGAGCTTCCGTAGCATCTTGCTCAGCCGAGGCCGTTTCTTCCTCGGGGTCGGACTTGTGAGACTGAGCGTCCTAAAAAAAAAGAAACACACGCAGTTAATGAATTTCGTACCTTGTAAACTGCGTTATACAAAGGACAAATGCAATGTGCCGTTTAGGCGAATCACTGCGTCGCATGCGATGATCCGAACCAGTCCTTCCAAGCTTGAAACGATGCATAATTGCTATGACTTTTGGGTAACGGATACATTACCATAACGGAACTTACCATTTCTGACGTGCAGGGACGAGGCGAATTGGCTGAAAACAAATCGAAGGTAATAAGTCTGATAAAACAGTCTGATAAAACAACGGCTTGTAAAGTGTAAAGCAATGCTTGCAATCATATATTCACAACACTTTCAACTGTGAGACTGAGACTCGACACTCGAAAGTCGAAAGTCTATGACGCATGACGGTTGACGTATGAGGGAGAACGAATTTTGTAATAAGAATATATGGAATCATGGAGCTGAGGTGGTGACATACTTGTTTCTCAGATCAACGATGTACTTTTTAGCGGAAAATATTTACTGCCAGGGGTCTCACAAACGGCTTAAAACGGACCATGGACCGGCGACCAGGCGGTGACAAACGCCTCATCGCCATATCGCGCCGAGTCCCATCGGGCGCACGGCTGTCCGGCGGGATTCAATGAATGCGAGGTTGATTTATTATCTTATTTCAATGCATCCATTGAGCAAAAGCTACAGAAGTTAAAGGTAGTGTGCCACCTTCAAAAGATTTCCCATTTTATTTTTCCTAGGATAAGAAGCTTCTGTTTTTACCTAATATCGCAAAAAAATCAAAAATGGGCCTAAAATAGTGCTTTTTTCGCCTAAAAGTTTATCGGTTTTTCGATATGTATAACAACTGTGGTGGGCCGACCTGCAAACAGGCGTCGGCAACAATCACGAATGCGGCGCACATGTGACAATAAGCAAAGGTCATTATAGAGTTACGACGTACGGGAATGAGTTATCAGCTGTCTAATCGTAGACAACACAATGTCGAATTTAAACTGTAAGCCTGTATTGGTATTGTTTCTTTAATTTGGCTGTCGAACATTAATTTATGGTTTGAAATATTATTTTATGTAAAATAATTGATATGAAACAGCCGTCTCTAAAGATATGACCCCATCTCACCACATGAAAGTGGCAGAAATGACAATGATCAGCTGACGCATTTTTCTTGGCCGAAGTCAGAGCGCGCGGCCCGACGCACCACCACCGCACCACAAAGTATGAGCAGAAGCCGCGCCCAAAGCCAGTGCCCCGGTAACGTGAGGTAGCCGAGTCGGGGCAGCGTGCGCTGACCCAAGCCGGGGCAGCGGCTTTGGGCGCGGTCTACCGCATCCCCGCGGGCAGCCCCGGGCTATCACATGACACCGGGAGGACGCGCGGCCCCGGCTTGGGTCAGCGCACGCTGCCCCGACTCGGCTACCTCACGTTACCGGGGCCCTGGCTTTGGGTGCGGTCTACCGCACCACCTAACAGGCGTGTTCGAAACCGCAGATGATGATGAACGGGTTTATCGAAACTTGATTGGATGAGCCTATCGGTAATAGCGATTTCAGTGTGTGCATTTATTGTTCATAGTGGTGTGAAATGTGGTTGGGGTACGACCGACAACCCGTCGGGGCGAATTTCGCACTGGGGTACTCAAAATTTGAAGAATTTAAGACGTTTCGATGAGTTTTGAAGGTATGGATAAGTTCTAAAAATCCGGTTCTCCTTATCTGGGCCATTAACTCCATACGGTCCAGGAAAGCTGGCACACTACCTTTAAGAGATTGAGTCGGCGTGATCGATTAAAAGCCGCCCCACACTGGACCTCGCATGCGGGTTGCGAGTTTTTGGGTTTTCGGGTTTCTTCAAAATCAAATAATATTTTCTAAGCTAAGTGACCCACACTACCATCTAACAAGCGAGTCTGCATGTTTTAAGCTTGCGAGCGACCTTGCATCGCATTCCAAAAGTTGATTTCGAGTCAGCTTTCGATTTTCCTCGCTGCGAGGTCTGCGAGTTCTGCGAGGTTTGCGGGTTTTTCGTTGGAGTCGAATTTTGGTTCGTTGCGCTGGTATTGCGACTATACATATGTAAGTTTCTGACGGTGTACTGGGTTCACTGCATTCATGAAGTTATCATAAGGGAACGGTCTTGTCACTCTATGAATTAGTATTATGCCCGCAAACTCAAAACCCGCAAACCCGTAACCCGCACGCGAGTTCCAGTGTGGGGCGGCCTTAATTTTCAACGGCGTATTTATCACTCTTCTTAATTCGCCGTCGAACACCACTCAAAGAGCTGGTCTCACTCCCGTCTCGACATTACATCTCGACATAATATGTGCCGAGCTTTGAATTTAGGGGGCAATTTTAGGTCTACCTGAAGTTTTACTGAAGTCATTTCAGTCAATCTAATCAATCTGTGAAGATTGATAAAAGGGACTGTCTGGGTGACAGAGCTCTGTAAGTTAAACTGAGCCGATCCCTCCTTGTCTTTATGGTCGCAATTCTACCTGTACGGTACTTACGGTAATTCCAAAACGATAGGGAGCCGTCCTTGGCCTGATTGGAATCGCATTAATCGTCACCCCTCATTGATATGCACCCGCCTTCAAAGGAGCTGCGCAAACCATTAATTAAATGGCCGGGCGTGTATTGTGCGCCGGGACCATTTGAATTCCGTCGGGCCGGGAAAACACTCCTATCGGGGATCGCCCCGACGCGCAGCACCACACGCACACCGAAATTGGAATAAAACACCAATTAAAGAGTGGGAAAGTATGAAAAATATCCTGGACGGATCTGGAATTATCATGGCCGGTGGCAGTGGCGCCGGCCCGCCCGCTGGGCTCGGTGGGACGGCCGATACCGGACACACCTTCCATTGATGGATGGCTGGTCGGCGCGGCCACTGGTAGCGACGTGACATGAGGGCGACGCTACCGAGATGTCACGGTCACAGGAGCCACAGCGAATGGGCGAGGCCAATGGCCAGTGCCATGGGCGACCTCTTCTGTTGCGCGATTCGCGGAAAGACGGTGAGAATTGAGATGTATGCTGCCGTTTAAAAGGAACCAGCAATAGGTAAATGTTCTGCATACACTTCTAAAAACAAACTTTTTTTACTTGACATAGAGTGTTCTGTGTAGGGTAAGTTCTCTTGTCGGGGCTCTTCTGGGTGTGACACCATGCAGATTCCTTTCTGCATTGACTGTGACTGCCTCGAGCGATGACTAACTGTTTCAGATGCTGCCTGTGACTGCTTCGGCTGATGCCTATAACTGCCTCGATTGATACTTATGGTTGCCTAGGCTCCTGCCGATAACCGCCTCAACTGCTGCCTATAAGTAAGTGCCCGGTTGACTGTGACTGCCTCAGGCGCTGCCTATAACCCCCTCGAGCGATGACTGCGACTGCCTGGGCTCCTGCCTATAACCGCCTCGAGCGATGACGGCTGGCATCGGCCTCCCGCGGAGGGTCTTTCCGAAGCTCCAGCTCCGAATCCAATCCTCCGTAATGACGGCGATTATTCCGTCATAAACTATACGCCGGGAGAGCGCTGGACGGCGGGCGTTTGTTTTTTGGCGCTACCCACTTCAGTACCAACTGTCGGCAGCGCGATCACTCGGGCCGGGCCCCGTTTTTGTCGGTGCACTGTGCCGAGATAGAATATGTGATTACGACCTCAATGACAAAACAAAACACACATTTGTCATGAGATATTGCCGTAACCAGAAACGTCCCCGGGAGAAACTGTGCGTCGAGATCACGGGCATCATGATAAAACTACAGTTAAGGAAAGCAATAAACCCTTGGAGATAACAACTAAGCTGTCATGAGAAGTAACTTTCCTTCGTGATAGAAACTATATACAATTAATGTCTGATTATTTTCACAATAAAACTGATGCGAGAATATGGAATTACGACATTGGTTGTTTCTGATGACGGATGAGGCACCAGTACCTATCCTTGTGCCGTTCATGTATGCAATGCGTCACACTGAATGGCCTTTCAAGCAGACATTGGTCCATACCAGCCCAAACAACGCTCCACACAAGCCCGACAATGACGTCGGATTGATGAAGCCTCCTATTCAACCGAATGGACTGATGGATCGCGCGGCATCTGAAAGATCCGAGTGCCACCCCCCCCCCCCTCCCCACCCCGTCCTCACAAACTGAATACTCTACCGGTTTGACCCCTCCCCTCCTCTCCCCTCACGTATCGAGACGGCTAATCTGTGGCCAGACGGTGCATTAGGGTTCTGAGGAGCCGCTGCGATACCGCCGCAATGGTACTGGCGCCGCGGCTGTTTGCCCAGTCCTGGGTCGGTATGGGGTTATTGGATTCAGACTTCAGGAAGGCCCACCGATCGAGCTGGCCCGTTTGCATCAGTGCGCGGGAAGTGAATCGATTGATATGCGAGCGTGATTTAAGTATTTGAATGGGCTCTCGCATGCGATTTCCTGATTGCGGGAAGGGTCTGTTTCAGCCTTCAGGATCTGTTGCGGATGAATGGCACCGTGCTCAGTGGGCGCAGTTCTCAATATCGAGGGAAAGTCGGCGGCGGATATTGAGCGTGCCTGTCACATATAACGTGCGCGGGTCCGCGGGCAGAGGCCGGTGGCAGCCGCTGCTCAGTCCGTTCACAGCGGTCCCAGTTTCGCCCGCTGCGAGCAGGGACACCTATTAGCTCCAGTGCGGGGTGGGTCTGGGAGCCAGCCCGCCGGCGGCGGGAGGGCCGTTTCTCCGGCTACGACTCCGGAGCAGGCGACCGGCACCGGCCGTGAAAAGGTGCTCACCATCAGACGAAATTATCACCGTGGCCACAATTATAGGCCCATTACCATTCTAATATCACTTAATGGCAGGGTGTGGACAGGATTGGGTCGGATGTACGTATGCCGGGAGAGCGCTGTTTGAACTGGAGGTAATCACTAATGTGGCGCCCCAGTGGGTTCTGCCACTGAGCTCGACCAATTCGACCGGCATGATGGCGCAATCTTCGGCCCCAATACAGCATTGCTCGATAGTTATGTTATGAGTTATTGTAAATTCGACAGTTATCTGGTGTGCCAATTTATTCACAACTCTTTAGGTGAGTTGATGGCTACTTTGATTTGCGATCGACGGTCAGGCGCCACCGCTTTCACCAAATTGTATACGAAACTGCATGCAGTGCTCGAGCTCTAACGCAAATTTCACGCTTTCAGCTTTCTTCAACATGCGACCTGTATAAATCATAAGCG